TTTTTTTTTTTTTTTTTCAATCTAGATGTGGTGATCGAAACCTACGTATAAAAAATAGTTCAGATACGGTACAGCTTCGGCAGCAATCCTTATATTACTATCAGCAAGAACAGTTACGGAATCTTCCATCATATCTAGGGGTTCGCTCAATCGAGCCGAAACAATACTGGCAGAATAATAATTATACATTATCCAGCTGTGTATTGTTATTTGGAATAACGCTATACGGCTTGGCAGTCGCTTCGGCAAAAAATTCGCACCTGATTGAAATTTTACATGATCTTAATGATTTTAAAAAGTTGCTGTATCTTTCGACATTTAATGGCATCTTTTGTACGCACCTTGTTGTGACAAAATCCCTACCGACAACACCACTGCTCCCGAATATTTTTCCCTCTTGCCAATATCCTCGCGATTCATTATTATTTTCATGACGAATATCGAAAACAATCCGAAAGCAGCAAATACATACCATGTTTGTCGTGTAAATGGTTTTAGGAAGATTTCTAATTTGATCTTGTTTGTTGAAGTTGATAGCAGCATGAAACAGGGTCTGATCAGAGATATCATTTCTTTTTTCTTTTTTTTTTTTTTTTTTGTTATAAAATAATGGGTAATCGAATTTAAAAAAGATTTTCGTAATTTCTAATTAATTTCCTCACCTAATTGGCCATGCTGCGCCGATGAGAGTTGCGTAATCCAACCTTTCGGACACCATGATCCTTGGATTACTAGCGAAGTCGATGTAATTCGAACGTAAGAATTCGAAGATCAAACCGTGTACACTGTGCCTGTCCCAATAAATTATTTCCGAAGCATGGACGCTGAAATAGGAAAGACAACTGACATGACGAGACAAATAATTATCATCCATCGTAATACCTGAAATTAAAAAGATCTCCTATATGCAAGATCATAGCGTGTACAAATTTATGCATACTGTCTAAGGATCTCGTATTTATGTCCTGCATGTAATCCTCGAGACGCATATCCTTTGGCCTATATTGAATCTGAATGGAAAATACAATTCGTGTTTATCGCGCAATTATCGAATTCATCACTGACACTAATCGATATTAGCGACGAGCTCACCACGCCAGATATTTTCAATCTCATTCCATGCATGTTAGCCCTCCTGTTGATTAACGGTTGTGTTAAGAGGATCTTCAATCCAGATTCAGGATACCAAGTACCAAGTTGAGTAATGTTCAGCGACCCACCACGATATTTACAGTGATTGAAAACATCGTACAGATCGTAGCCATTTCTGTTCGATATAGCAAGAGCAACGTCTGTTACTATATTGTAAGCGGTATCGTTCAAAATCGGAACACTCTGATTGTAATTCGAACCAAGCACCAACCAATTGTACGAATAATCGTACATTCGATACTTTGAGCTCTGAGTTAAAAAACAGAAAAAAAAAAAAAAGAAGAAGAAGAAAATTATCGTTGCGGATATGAAAGATAGAAAGTTCCCTCTCACCTCCGCAAAAATTCGCACAGCTGTTTCATTCTGACAACGTAAATCAATCACGACACCTACTGTCCAAGTTTCGCTTCTCATAAACCTGCGGAAGTCGATTTTCACGCTTGGTTCTCTCATTATCGTAAATATGCCGGTGGTGCTTAATGTTTTCACAAGATTGAAGTCACCTGTGTATCGCACCGTCACATATATATAGAATCGTATAAACGTTAGTTTCACTCGATAACAATTATTTGTCCAAACCATGGAGTTCTTATGAGAATTTATATTACATAGTTCCTTAATAAACGAAAGAGTTAGCTTACCTATAGTATCGCCACAAGAAAATCCTACAACGTTTCGTACCTTCTTGTACACGAAATAATCTCGGACGAACACGTGATCCTGCGCGTTCGAAATTAAAACGAATTGCAGTAAAATTAACAAGACCGCGTACATTGTATTATTCTCTGTTTTAAAACAAGAATTCCGCCCGAACATCAACGACGATCGAATGGAACGGCTCGGCATTGACTGCCTTTCCGTTGCATTATTTTATATTATTATGCCTCTACGACGTAATGATAATAATAATAATAATGATAAATAGTAATAATAATGCAGAACGTGTCATTTAGAATACCGTTACAAATGACAGGCTTGTCAAACGATTTCGAGCAATTTGGCAAATTGCTCGAGTCACGAAAAGGGATCCGTAGAGCTTGATTAATCAATCATTCATTCGTCCGTCTCGTTTACAACGCGACAGTTTCAACGGTGGAATAAGCTAAGTCTCGCGATCGACTGAATTCCCCGCTCGCGGATCGATCGCGTTATTATTTGCGTTATTATTATTCATGTGCGTGCCGCGGTGATTTTATTAATTTCCCGTCAAAGGCTGCCTAAAATATGAATTTCACGATAAGCTAAATATTAAAAAGTGTTGGGAAGGGAACAGGGAACAAACCCGGCGGGTTTAAAAATTAATTACACGATTGAAGATAATCGTAAACATGCTGCCGGCTTTGACCGCAAAAATCAGTGATCAATATCGATAATTAACTCGCCGGTGATGTGGCCGTATTTATATATTTCTGAATGATCACACCACAGTGGCCAAAGATGTACATGTACTTAATGAATTTCATTCGACGTGCGTGCGAAACAACATTAGGTTGATGCGTATGAAATGCTGCTCCTCCAGAGGATCCGAACTGTCTCGACTGTTCATTGATTTCGAATAAACGGTGTTTCAAAGAAACTACAAAATTTTAGCACATCCGAGGAAGCGAAATTTCATACGCACCTACGCGTTCTAATGAAATTAGGTGCGATAAGTTATCGTGTTTGACATTCAATTTCAGCTAGAAAAGAATCTTCAAGGTATTTGAAAACTGCCCCATTCATTGAAGAAATTGAAATTTCTCAGAGTCCGTAGATTCACGTTTCGCAAGGATGGCAAGTCTGAATTCTTATCGATCAGTCGCCTATTCTCCGTCATGAACCGTGGAATTCTAAGGAAAGATTTGATATCATTAATTGTAAAAACTGTGACCTATTCGGACAGGGAAAAGAATACTAAGTGTAGTTTTGCAGTTTACCGTATTGGAAAGATGAAGAAGATGATATTCTCGACGATGCAAATGAGGATCGATAGAGCGACGGATATGCACAAGAATATGAAGATCGGTGCAGCTTCGTGAATCGATAGAGGTTCGGCGATAAGTAGGTTGTTAGGGCAGAATGGTTTCCTAGCCGCCCATCGCTTCAACTCGCGTTTCTGAATGCCAACGTTTTGAATTTTAGTCAAACTAAACAGAAGGGGAAAGTATATGTTCAAGAGTAGTAATTGCAGATATTTTTCGAGCTCTACTCAGCATTTCAATTAATTTCAATTAATGCTTTTCAAACTCGCTTCGGCGTACATGCAATAATTTACATGTATATTGACTTTCGTACCCTACTTTCATCAGTTCGGTAAAAGGGCTGCGATGCCTGGCGTAAAACGCGAGGATAGCACGGAACAGATGAACCTCCGTGAGTTCGCAAATACTTCGACGATTGAACGAACGCTCGATATGCGGATAAGCTGAATCGATCATCGTGTGATAAGCCAAACGACCCTCCGCCACGCGATTAAGTCCCTCTTCTAGTGGCAAATATCTATCCGACTCCGGTATTTTCGTCCAACAATTATCGTAAAAATATCTCACTTCCTTGTCTGATACCTATATATATATATATATTACATTAGCATAAATGATGATAGGGATGAAATCGAATAATAAATAATTCTAACTATTTTAGTAGAATTTTTTATAATATTTAACAT